CTCGACACGCACGATCTCCGCAGAGGGTTGCGCGCACACCAGGCAAATCGCACTCTCGCCTGCATTTCGCGCACTCGACACGCAGGATCTCCGCAGAGGGTTGCATTTTCGGTTGACGCTGTTCGTCCCACCCTCCGCCTTTAAGAGAGAATTTATAAAGTGGGGAAATGTTTTTCATTAGGACATCTCCCGTGCAAGTTTTCCATACTCACACTTGCATACTCATTGCATACTCATTACACTTTTACACTTGCACTGGGGTACTTGCCGTTGGATGCTTTCACTCTTCCACTTACACTGGGGTACGTATAGAAGTGCAAGTGTTCATGTTCATGTTCCAGTGTAAGTGTGGAAGCGTAAGTGTTCAACTGTACGTGTCGAAATGTCAGTGTTCAAGTGCAAGTGTGGAAGTGTCAGTGTGTAAGTGTAAGTGTCGAAGTGTCAGTGTTCAAGGGATTTTCCGGAAGAACCCTTCGCAACGCTTTCGGGAAAAAGATCCAGCGTAAGCCACTGCCTCCATGGGCTCCCCACTAGTCACTGCAAAAATTCTGAGAAGCAGGTAAAGCGGAAATGAGATCCAAAGGTTTGCAGAACCTGAATGAAAACTCCCAAGTCATCACCTGGGGATTGTGGCAGGACTGCTGCGTCAAAAACAACCGCGTGGGGAACCATGTTGGTTCTGCATCACGCGCTACAAAGCCACCAAATCATCGCTATTAGCAGAGCTCATCCTTGGACCGCACCCTCCGACTCCCGTCAGCGTGCTTCCCACGGCAAAGCTGTCAAATTCAGACAGATTGTCCCGTGCCTCATCAAAAGCTGCACTCTGAAACTGTCCTTGATGCTTTACAACTTACAAGCAAAAGGTTCTGGCTCTGGTATGCCAAGCTTTAGTCTTAGTAGCGCTGACAAAAATTCAAGCCAACATTTGTTCTGCAACATACCGCGCGACAAACACCCAACTAGTTCGGTAAGACCCTAAGAGCGCATCCTCTCTGAGTTCACGAGTTCACCTCTGCACACATGTCTTCCTACCGCCGCCACCGCCACCACCACCAGCAGCAGCAGCAGGAGGAACAACAGCAGCACCCACCGCCCGCGCCACTTCTTGCGGAACTTGTTGCTCTGTCAAGCTCTGTGGGAAGTTGTCCAATTCCAACTACTGCGGAAAAATGACGTTGATGTTTGCGATGACAGAACCAGTGATGACTGTGAACACATGCAGCGACAAAGAAGATGAAGCAAATATGACTTTGCAAGGAATGGGAGGAGAGTTCGGAATAAGGAAATTGATGTCGTGATAGCAAAGAGCCCAGATGAGTTACAGAAACGACTGTGATCCCGGCAACGACCCCAAAACAGTGCCAAGTAGAACGAAACAAGGGTGAATGAGGGAACTTCGGCACTCTAGACTCTAGAGTCTAGAGCACACGCATAGAACACAAATAAAGGAGCACACATTTGTAGAGCACATTGGAGAACACACATACGAGAGCACACGCATGACAGCACACATATGTGAGCAAACACATGAGGGCACACATATGACAGCACAAGTATGAGGGAGCACAAATACGACGGCACACACACATCAGAGTACAAGTGAAAAGGCACACGTCTAACAGAACATATTTGGTTCACTCGAGGTTGACCACCAAGTCGAAAAATGCGCACGGCGCCACAACCAAACGCTTAGCACCCTCGATCAAACCCAGCCTGAACTCTACCATAAGAACCCCTGGTGACCTAGTGCAACCACACTGCTTGGGAAATGATGTCGTGACCACAAAAATGATCATCTGATGGGAAACATGATGTTTAACTGAAACAAACATCATTTTAATAGTGGCAATACCCACCCGCCGACAATGTTCTGATTGATGATGAAAATATGATGGGTGAATGTGGCAGCTCATCTATACATCTATATATATACACACATACAAGAATATAAGCACTACGGCAGAATGATCTTGCTCGCGCAAAGAAAGGAAAATTGCGCCATTCAAGCAGCTGTCGGAAAGGCCCTAATTCACTCATTGAACACCCATTCCAACAAACAAGCTGGCCTTGAAAGTTTGACTCCTTGTCGATTCTCTCACACTGTCGGCCCTTGAGGCTTGGCTGGCAAATCTCCTGTGAGAAAAAAGACGTTTGGCAGCATCTTTGAACAGTGAAGGCCACAATCAGTGAATCTTTCGACTCCTTGTCGATTCCCTCAAACTGCCAGCCCTTGAAGCCACTGAAGCTTGGCTCCCAAATCTCATCCTGTGAGAAAAAAGACGTTTGGCAGCATCTTTGAACATGAAGGCCACAATCAGCAAATCATCAACCCCCTTTCCGATCCTGGTGGATAAGCGGTGCTCATAAAACTCCTCCGGTCTGATCGACCGACGTTTACCTCGTACGCTGTTCCAAGGTCTGAGGTCCAGCAAAAGAGGCTGCCCTGCCACTCACTAGCTAGACTGACAAAATGCAATCCGTCTTTCGATGTTGATGATGGTCGTCAAGAACAACGGTGAAATACACTAATAAAGGAAGGAAAAGCCTTAATCACGAGCCGGCCACTGTTGATACGGGCGCTGGATGTATTCTCCATACTGCAACCATCTCAAGATCATCTGCTAGCAAGTTGATCGCTCGCATCACTGCATCAAGGTCATAGACAGAGAGGGCATCCTGAGATCCAAGCAACAAAGCATAGACATGTAGGCTAAGTGGAAGAAAGTACATGTTTGTTCTTTTCTAGCTGTCTTTTCTTTCTGTTCCTGTTTCTAATAGCTTCTTGTCACTACTAGTAAGGCACTTGTTCCTCGCAGCGATGCACTTGTTACTAAAAGCAAAGTTCACTTCACCGCACTTAAGCGCTTCCAAAAACTTCATTTCCTTATCGTCAGACTCTTCTTGGACGTAGATCGCAATGTCGGTCAAAATAGAAAGGACCTCCCTGAGGAACGCTTCCCAGATTGAAGAGAATGGAGTCCCTGGAACCTCCCAAGCCAGATCTACACACAAAAAAGCAGCAACTGTCAGGAGGATCATGAAGACCAAGACCAGCGCCTCAGGCACTGCTGAAAAGGGATGGATTTTTTCAACCCTGATCAAGTGGGCGTTGAGAGGTCTCCAGGTTTTTGCTTTGGGGGAAGGCTTTGGTGGATGTGCTGGACAGATGGATGATGGACTGGAATGAGACAGCGTGACTGACATTCACCCTCAGGAGGCGCATGGGTGACAGGGCTGGGGAGGGAAGACGGAGGGGAGCGAGACGGGAGGCGCATGGATGGGGAGGGAAGATGGAGATTGTGGCACCACAAGCATCATTGCAGGCTGCTCGGGGTCAGTGCACAAGTAGTACGAAGCGTGGGTGGGGGTAGTCCTGCTCCATGCTTTGCGGAAGCACGTTGGGAGGTGAGGAGCTGTGTTGCGCACCCTATACGATGGTCTTGGGTGTCCAAAAATGTGCGCAATGCATGCGACAGACGGTCAAGTCACTGAAAAACCGAAGCCCCCATTTTCATTTTCTGGATGCGCAAGTGC